GCATTGTCACTCAGCCATGAAGGGACAGATCTATGCAATGACATGTACTCCTTCTAGAAGTATTTATTGGGCATTGCTGTAGGTGCTGAGGATATATACAGCAGTGAATAAACAAGTAAAACTTGTTGCCCTCGGGGGCTCCGTTCTAGTGAGGTGAGGTGTAATGAGCAAAGGGACAAGTAATGTATAGTAGGGCAGATGGGGAAAAGCAGTATGAGGAAATGAAGGTGGCAAGGGGCTAAAGAGCATGAGGATGGCTGAAATAGTATGCTGAGAGAAGGTCTCTCTAATAAGATGATATTTCAGCAGACTGAAGGTGAGTAGGAAAGCCATGCAGATGAGGAGCATCCCAGATGGGAATAGTGAGTGGGAAGACCCTGTAGTGAAAGTGAGCTTGGGATACAGGAAACTATCAGGGGAGGGAGAAAAGGAAGGGAAGAAGGAGATGAGGTCAGAACTGAGAAGGTAGGATCATGACAGCATTGAAGACTTTGGTTTTCACTCTGAGTGATTTGGGACACCCTTGGAGGGTTCTAAGCAAGGCAATGACAGGATCGCACTTAAATTTTCAGAGTCTTTAGGCTGCTGTGTTAGGCACATGGAATAAGGGTGGAAGCAGAGACCCCTACTAGGAGGCCATTGCAAGAGCCCAGGTGCAGGTGAGGGATGATGGTGGCAGTATCTCAGTGAATGTGCAGGTGGTAAGAAGCTGGCAGACTCTGGATATATTTGGAAGGTATAGCTAATGAAGTTTCTGATAGATTAGATGCAAAGGGTGTGAGAAAGAAACTAATCAAAGACTTTGGACTTGGGCAACTGGAAGTATGAAATTAACATTGACTAGGATCAGAGAGACTTTGTGAAGATTGGGTGTTCTGTTATGGATGTGGTAAGGTTGTTGTTGTTAAGTGCCATCAAGTCACTTCCGACTCATAGAGACCCTGTATAGGGTTTCCATGACACTCATTCTTTGTGGGAGCAGAAAGCCTCATCTTTCTCCTGCTGAGTGGCTGGTAGGCTGGAAACACCGACTTGGTGGTTTGCAGTCCAGTGTTTATCCTACAGAGCCTACTAGATCTATGATTAAATGGAGTAGGCAGTAGGTATTCAAATCTGGAGTTTAGGAGAGAGGCCCAGGCATCTGATATACAGTTTTTAATTAACACATGAGCTATAGATGCCATCAAACACCATAATGTTAGACATGATAACTAAGGCGTGAGTGCAGATAAGAAAAAGGTCCAAGGACTGAGCCCTTGAGGTCTCCTCCATGAGGATAAGAAGATAAGGGGGAATCCATTAAGGATACTGCGAAGGAAAAGCAAGTGAAGGAAGAAAGAACAATGTCCCAGAAGTCAAGTGACAATAGAGGCTCAAAGACAAGGGATGTTCAGCTCTACAAAGCTGCACATTGTAAAATAGGTAGATTCTGAAAACCACCATTGGATTTGGTAACAGAAATTACTGGTGACCTTGAAAAGAGAGGTTTTGCTGCAGTAATGGGAAGGGAAGTCTGGTTGCAGTGGGTCCATGAGAGAATGGGAGTACAAGAATTAGAAACCATATGCAGAAGCAACTCTGAAATACAAAAGGAGACAACGTAAGTCCTCAAGAAATGGAAGAAGGAGGAATTGTCAAGATTTGCAATCATAAGAAATATTGCCTACATCTTCCTAGACCATATTAACCAACTTAGTACAGTGCATTTATTCATTTTACTCTGCATACTTCTCTACTTCAAAGGCTACGTGGACACTATTCCAGTAAGAAAGGGTGAAGGACTAAACAAGATAGAGTGTGAATACTATGCACAGACAGACATAGAACATAGAACTGTAAAGCTACCCACAAACGCACAACCATCTAGTGCTATAATCTTGCATGACAGTTCAGGAAGGTTTTTTTGTCATTAAAGATTATAGCACTAGGTGGTTGTGTATTTGTGTCCTCAACTCTATCTTGTTTTCTGATGGCTCTTCTTGAAGCCTAAAGAAAGGGCTTCCCTGTAGATACAGGATACTTCTACGACTTATCATCTATGAGTTTAGCCATGTGACCTGCTTTTGCCAATGGAATACGAGCAGATGTGAGATGAACCACATTTAAGCATGAGCTTTACCCTCTGCTATAGAATAACATGGCCCACATGGTGGCTGCTCCTTCCAGCTGGATTCTGGAGTGAGATGGAAACCAGATTTAGTCAAGTCCAGAGCTCAGCTGAACTCCGCAGAGCTGCAGCTGACATGCCGTCCTTATGTAACCTAAGTCCGGTATAAATGTTTGTGGCTGTAAGTCATTGAGAATTTGGGATTGTTTGTTCCTGCAACAAAAGCCAAGACTTTTATTAGAGTTTTAAATTCCTCAAGTGAAAGGGTTATGTTTATTCTTTATGATATGCCCTGATACTCAGGCACCATGCTGCGAAAACTGGGCAACAATTCATTCTGTGATACCTAGGCCACCACGAGTCGAAGTCAACTTGGCAGAAACAAACAACAAACAATAAAAAGTACAAACACAGGGTTGGGTAGGTAAGATTTATTATGTCTATTGTAACTTTGCTGGCTAAAGTTTTAATTCATAGTTCCTATTGCTGACACATTGGCTGTACCTTCAGAACCTCCTTAAAGTCATGTTATAAGTACATTTTACCCTCCTTTCCAACTGTCTGCTGTTAGTCTTTTGAATTATGGCTAATTGGTAAAGAAAACCCAGGCAATTTATCCTTCACAGGAGGAGAATTGGGTCTTTGGCCATCATAGATACTTGTCCGGTTTCTAGCCCTGTGTGCCATTAAACCGATTTTGACACACAGCAATCCTATATGGCAGAGTAGAACTTCGCCATCCAAAAAAAAAAATCCCCCCCAAAATTCATTGCCTTTGAGTATGACTTATACCTGCGTTGGTGGTGTTGGTGATGTGCCATGGATTCGGTTCCAACTCATGGCGACCTCACATCTGAGGCTGTAAATCTTTATGGGAGCAGAAAGCTTCATCTGTCTCCTACGGAACAGCTGGTAATTTTGAACTGCTGACCTTGAGGTTTGCAGCTCGACTCGTAACCATTATGCTACCAGAGCTCCTTTATAAATGCCTTAGAATAGTCCTATAGGATATGGTAAGGAACTCTGGTGCACAGTGGGTTAAGCGCTGGGCTACAACCAAAAGGCTGACAGTTTGAATCCACTCAGCAGGAGAAAGCTGAGACTTTCTTATAAAGACTTACAGGCTCAGTACCCCTACAGAGTAGTTGTACTCTGTCCTAGAGGACCACTCTATATCAGCCTCATCTCAACAGTAATGGGGAGAGAACTGTCCCATATGGATTTCAAAGCTCTAATCATTATGGAAGCAGACAGCCACATCTTGTTCCCATAGAGCGGGAGATGGGTTTGAATCATCAACCTATTGGTTAGCAGCTAAGCACCTAACTACTGAACCACCAGGCTTCCTTTAGAACCCCATTTGTTGTTGTGAAGTGTCATCTAGTCTGTTTAACTCATAGTTATCCCATGTAGGGTTTCTGAGGTACCCCCAAATAGTTAAGGCCAAGTACGATATACTGCCGAGGTTTAGTTCTATAACCCCCTTTCAAGCTTAAGAGAAGCCATAAGCTTTGCAGAGGGGTCCTTACTGCAAAGAAAACCAACTTCTGCCAACATTTATTCAGTAAACCCACCTAACATTTGCAGAGACAGTTCAAGACATTGTGAAGGGATCAGAGACAGTATAAGCCATAATTTTTCCCTTCAAGGGGCTTGTCATGGAACTGAAACAATCAGGAGTTATATAACCATTTAATTCTTCAAGAGAAGGAATGTGGTATGGTAGGAAAAGAGTTGCTTCAAAGTCAGGAGACCTGATTCTAATTCTGGCTGTAGCGCTTAACTAAGTTAAGTTATTTTGAGAAGGCCTTTTCACTATGCTGTGTCTAGATTTCCATATGCAAAAAGGAGTTACTGGTTAGTGAAAAGCCCTTACACTTCTAAGGTTTCCTGACTCTAAGTGGTATATCTAAGCAGCAGAGATGTAACCTGAAGACCCAGTGTGGGGTACAGGCAGAGAGGCTTGTGCCTTCTGAGGACCTCTTTCTTTCTTATGGCTTGCCCCATCTCCAAGCTAGTCTGGTTCCAACCTAGTCATGGACCATCCTAGAGAGCCAATGGAGCTAGACTAAGAAAATCCAGAATTATTCTCAAACACCACAAATTGAACAAGGAGCTGTTCTCCAAATGCTGACGGAGCCCCCAGGAGCTCCATAGGCTGGGGTCTACTTGGACCTAGAGCAACTGTGTTCATTCTTAATGCGGCAAACTTCTGGAGAAGTGATGAAGGGGAGATGACTATGTAAACCAATCCCCTCACAGATGGTACCTTTCCAAGGAAGCCTATCTGCTTGATTTAGACAGCTAAACACCCTCCACTTTTGGGGCAATAGCTGGTGTGTCCAGAAACAGGTTTCTGAGACCTGGGATATCCACATGACATGAAAGAAAGCGATGGCTCAGAGGACCAGCAAAACAGAACTTTTAGAACCTCCACTGGTGCTTTTCTGATTATATTTTGGAAAAATACAGACGGTAGAGATGATCCTATTGGCTAAAATACTCTGCTGACCTCAGAGCTTAGCCCACTCTGCTCCCTTGCTTCTCTGATGAAGACAGACATAAACTGCAGGCTCAGAGCCTGGTGGGGATTGCTCAGATGACCGATGAATTGCTTTCTCTATGTAGGCTGCTTTCATCTGGCTGTGTGACTGTTGAGAATTGTTTCCAGAGGTTGACAAAAGCCGGGACCAGTGTATTTTAATATTGTGGAATATCTTGAGGTTGAAAGAACCCACATCAGAGTTGGATTCTTTTAAGCAAAGGAACTCATTTGAAAATCTCCATTTGTATGAAATCAGGCTCCTCTGCAGTGTGCTCTTGGCAATTCAGTGAAGGAAAGCAGAGGTGGTGACAAGGTAACATTTTAAACAAGAATAATGACTTTACTTACTCGGGACTCCAGATACCAGCCGCAAGGGGCGCAGCACTCGGAAAGCCCTCAATGCCTTCACGTCAAATCCAGCCCCTTTTCCTCCCAGGACATTTGGCCCATCTGCTTTGGTTGCTTGTTCTAAAATTGCACTAAAAAGCCTAGAAGGAAGGAATGAAAGAAGGAGTGGTCAGCAGGATGGTTCACTACTCAGTTGGGTTTGGAATTCTCTGAGGGAAAGCTGGGATGCCAGGGATCCCAGGGCTCTCCAGCCAGGGGGCAGTGCCCAGGTGGGTGTGAGGAAGGCTCCTCAGGTGACTGTAAGTGTGTTGTTCCTTAGTATGGGTATCATCCACACCAAGAGTGGAAACACATGATGCATAGCTAGAAGCAAGGCAAGGAAAGAGCCTGGACAAAATCATAAAACAGATCAGGTTTGCCACTGGGCCACCAGACTGTCTGTGGTGTCCTTACACCCTCCATGGTATCCTAGTCCCTCCTCCTTGTAGAAGCCACAGCCCACACTGTCTCCCCACCAATTACTGCTTGCCTCTGACCAGCCTCCTCGCTTTGATTGAACTTGGCACAAATAAATGATACCACAGAAATCTAATCTGTGCCTCACATATACCAGCTGTTCAAGAGATAGATGCTGAAGTAGTGAATGAATGAACTGTCTGTATGAAGACATTTCAATAGCGATTAAAACCATGTATCAAGGCATGTATCTGAGACATGGTGATTGCAGCTGCTGCTTTATGTCTGTGCTTGTATATTCATGCCTTCAGCATACATGAAAACCTGCTCTGTGCCAGGCATTATCCTAGACACTGAGGCTCAACAGTGAACAAAATGTACCAAGTCTTTACTTGGGGAGTTTATCTTCAGATGGAGGAGAGACAGATAATAAACCAAGTGATCAATAAATACATATACATACATTTTTGTATTTAAAACTAAATGAAATAAAATTTGAAATGTGTTTAGATATAAGCAAGAAATAAAAACAAGCCAGTCTCATCTAGTTGTGCCTGACTTATGAAAACTCCATGTGCAGAATTGGGCTCCATAGGGTTCTCAATGGATGTAACCCTAAGGAAGTAGAGTGGCAAACCTTTCTTTGAGTGCACTCAAACCACCAACGTTTTGGTTAAGTAGACAAGCACTTAGTCATTTGGGCCACCTAGGGACTCCACATTTATATAATCAACAAACACCCCCAAACCAACCGCACTGCTATTGAGGTGCTGTCCCTATATAGGATACAGTACAACTACTTTGCAGGGTTTCTGAGGCTGTAAATCTTTACAGGAGCAGATTTTCTGTCCAACAGCAATATTATTTATATTATAAATATGTAATTTCTACAGCTGTAAATGTATACATATTGCATGTTAAGAGTGGTAGGTGCTAAGGAGAAAAATGAAGAGGGAAGGGACTCTGGAGCGACAAGAATGAGAGGCTGAGAAAGGAAGTTTTTTCTTAGGGTCATTTGAGCAGAGACCTACAGAATGTGAAGGAGCAAGTTAAGTATCAAAGACCCAAGGAAGTGGCACAATTAGTGTGTTAGAGGGACAAGGAGGGCAGTGTGGCTGAAGGAGAGCAGGCATGTTGTGTTTGTTGTGATTAAATACCTCTGAGTCAATTCTGACTCATAGAGACCCTGTCTGTATAAGGTTTCTGAGGAGAGAGCACTGGTGGGTTTGAGACACCAACCTTGTGTTTCCCAGTCCAGTGCTTATGGAAGTAGAGGATCCTACTGGGCATGATCTGAAATGAAATCTATAGAGAATGATATGATTTGACTAAAGTTTTCAAAGAAATCACACTGGCTATTGTGAGGAGAACAGACTATACTGGGACAAGACCAGAAGTGGGCTGCTGCAGTAACCCAGTGGGAGAAACTGGAGCTTTAGATCAGGGAGGTAGTGTTGGAGGTGGTGAGAAAGAATCAGATTCTAGGTTTAAGGATAGAGCTGATGGGATTTGCTAATGGACTGGATGTGAGGTGTGAGAAAGAGAAATCAAAGTGGATTCTAGTAGTTTTGGTCTGAGCAACTGGAAGAATGAGGTAGGTTGGAGTGTATAGCTATCAAGGACCCTGTGTTCAAGTTTGCAGGGATGACCAGGCATCGGAGTGGGTATAGTGGACTAGTTATATTTAGTTTGGAGTTCAAGTGGGAGGTCCAGGATGGTGACAAACCTCTGGTGGATGGATTGCTGTTGTTTTCAAGTTCTGTTAAGTTGGTTCCAACCCATAGTGACCCTGTATAAGGTTTCCAAGGAGTGGCTGGTGAGTTTGAACCACCAACCATTCGGTTCAAACCGACTTCGTGAATGAGTGCTTATCTTACATGGATACATTGTATTTACAGCAAATCATGTGAGGTCACAGGAGGCTGGTATAGAAGGTAAAGATGTGAAAGGACTGAGCCCGGGACCCTCCGACATTTAGGAGTTACGAAGAGGAAGTACCAATAAAAGAGACTGATTTGTAATGGCAAGTGAGGCAAGAGAAGAAGTAGAAAGAATAGAGTCTAGTGAAGACAGTGGTCAACAATAAGGCAATGTGCAAATGCTGAAGACACAGCCCTGGTAACTAACCACTGGATCTAGTGATGCAAAGGCATGAGGCCTTGACACGTGTAGTTTGGTGGGGTGCTGGGAACAAAAACCTAATAGATGGGGTTCAAGACACAATAGGAGGAGAAGTTACAGACAGTGAGAACAGACAGCCCTGTTCACAAATGTGAACCAGTCTTAGGGGCTTCAAAAGGTTCATGGGAAAATTCATTCTCTTTCAGCCATTTTCCCAGGGACTTTTGAAGCTCCCCTCATATGTAATTTAAATTGTCTACTAGTCACATTAAAAAGGTAAAAAGAACCAGGTGAAATTATTTGTAACAATATATCTCATTTGTTGTTGTTGTTGTTGTTACGTGCCGTAGAGTCGGTTCCGACTCATAGCGACCCTGCACAGGGTTTCCGAGGCTGTAAATCTTTACGGGAGCAGAACGCCTCATCTTTCTCCCGCGGAACCGCTGGTAGTTTCGAACTGCTGACCTTGCGGTTCACAGCCCGATTCGTAACCACTACGCTACCAGAGCTCCTTATTTAGTCTAGTATAACCAAAATATTATCATTTTAACATACAATCAGTATAGAAGATATTAATGAGCTATTTGTCATTCTTTGTCTTGAACCAAACTGGTGAAAATCTGCCTTATATTTTACATTTACAGAGCATCTCAGTTTGGATTAGCCACATTTCAACTGTTTAATGGCCATGGTTACTGGCTAGTGGCTACTATGCAGAAAACTCTTTGAGGACTTTTGCTGTAAAGAGAAGTAGATGGCGGGAAAAGGTGATTATCAGAATGGAGCTTAGGGTTAAGATCAGTTTTTAAATAGGAGACATTTAACTGGGAGATAGTTTTAAATACACCATTTTTGTATGTGTGGGAATCATTAGAGACAGAAGATTGATGTGGAATTAAGAAGGAACAATATCTACAGAAGGAGGAACGTCCTTCATTAGGCAAGACTGGGATCTAGTGCACTTGGAGGGGTATTGGCCTTAAGGTAGGAGGAGGGAGAGTCTACTTACCCTGGTTTAAGTAGGAAGGCATATTAAAGGGTTACAGATGTGATTGTGGGAATGTGTAAGAATTCTCCTCTGATTCAACATATTTTCTATTGAAATAGGCAGCAAGGTCATTGGGTGAAAGTGTGACCAAGTATGTGTGAGTGTTAGAAGTTTGAAGAGTGAGAATAAGGTGTCAAATCACCACCTAGGAAAGAGTGGATGGACTAAGGAGCCACACTAAGATAGCCTGGGATCACCTAGGGCCTACTGAAGTTGGTGGTCAAGAGTGTAAAGTGAGACCAGTCAGCTTAGTTTTGTGTATTTTTCTTCCCCCTCTACTGGCACAGCTTCAAGCACCACACAAATGGAGATTTGCATCTGACTAGGGTTGGTGTTTTAGGAGGTGAACCAGAGAAATAAACAGAGATTGAGTGTCAGTTGTTATAATGATGGAACATGGCACCTAAAATGATTGTACATAGTGGGCGGAGGAAGAGAGAAAACGTAGAAGGGTGAATGATTGTTGGAAGTAGAAGAGGTGAGCTAAAGAAACAGGCAGTGTTGATTAGAGAGTAGGATGTCTGATTTGAGATTATAGGGGAAGATGTAATTATTGCTTATGACAGGGTCTAGGATGTGACCGTAAGAGTGGGTAGCTGAGAAAGGATCCCTGGAGAAGAAGATATCAAGGAACTGAGATGCTATTAGAAGATGTTGGCAGAAGTTGTGAGTGTTGGAGTGAGCCCAGAGCTGATGTCTTCAAAGACCTGTTGTTATTGTTGTTAGGTGCTATTGAGTTGATGTGACAGAGTAAACTTCCCCGTAAGGTTGTGTCCTTTATGGGAACAGATTGCCAGATCTACAAAAGACTGTGATAAAAGGAGGAGGAATTAAAGAAAGGTCTGATGGCACAAGCATCAATGCTTGGGGCTTTCAGGAAGGAGAGACGGCAATAGTGTCTGAAAGCAAACATAAAGAAAAGCAAGACCTCTGACCCAAGCTCCAGGCTCAGTCAGTGGAAGGAGGCATGCAGGAAAGATGTGATCATATCTTGAGAAGCTGCATGAAAAGCAGAGTCCCCAAGGGAGAGTCAGAGAGTGAAAGGGATGACCAGAAAGGAAGTTGACGATTTAGGGCAGGAGTTGGAAAACAACAGCCTATGGACTGCCTGCTTGTATAAAGTTGTATTGGAATATAGCAACACTCATTCCCTTAAATATTGTCACGAAAGCCTATTTCAATGTACCCTGGCAGAGTTGAGTAGCTGTGTCAGAGACCTCACAACACCCTTTATAAAAGATGTTTACTGATCCTTGAATAAGAATGGACTGCGGAGAATAGAGTAGGGTGGGAGGGAGAAGGAGCTTCAGGATTCAGAGCTATCTGGGAAAGACAATCTGAGTGTTGGGAGATGACCAAGGGATCCTGGGCTTTTTTTGTGGTAACCAAGGAAGAAGACGGGGGAAGGACACATAGGGACAATTTCTTTCTTTCTTACCAAGAAATGACACTACTAGCTTACTGTCAATAGAGTTTGTGC